TCATGTTGGTCAGGCTGGTTTCGAACTCCTGACCTCAGGTGATCCACCCACCTCGGCCTCCCAAAGTGCTGGGATTACAGGCGTGAGCCACCGCGCCTGGCCAGCACTTTCTTTTAGAGATTATTTTATAATGAAAAGGCCATTCAGGAATAAAATTAAAACCATTTCTATTAGCATGAACACTTTTTGGAATTTCCAGAATTTCTAGTCCTGAACCATGTGCAAAAGCATATTTTCCAAATAGATTTCCTTCTCTACAGCAAAGGAGCATGATTCTAAGCATGAATAGAAATGAGGAGCCATACTCCTGCCCGCATGAGTTTTCGTAAGACAGATTCATCCCATTTTGAAAATGGCATAAAAATCCTGCACTATTGTATAAAAATACGTTGTTGACATGACCAAAGGCTCAAACTGTCTAAGCATTAAAAGTATCTTTATTCACTAACAAATGTCCTGTTCAAGCAGAAAAAAATATTTCCTCTAGCTGTATATGGCAAACTACTTTACATACTGTCTCCCAAATGGGCTGGCTGTGCTGAACGACAGTTGTCACACTTTGTGAAACCACCACCTTAAGTTATTGTGATGTTTAGTAAAAGGGTCTAATTATTATTATTATTATTATTTTATTTATTTTATTTTTTTTGAGACAGAGTCTCATTCTGTCTCCCAGGTTGGAGTGCAGTGGCACGATCTCGGCTCACTGCAACCTCTGCCTCCCAGATTCAAGCGATTCTCCTGCCTCAGCCTCCCTGTTAGCTGGAATTACAGGTGCCCACCACAACGCCCAGCTAATTTTTGTATTTTTAGTAGAGATGGGGTTTTACCACGTTGGCCAGGTTGATCTCAAACTCCTGATCTCAAGTGATCTACCTGCCTCAGCCTCCCAAAATGCTGAGATTACAGGTGTGAGCCACTGTGCCGGGCCGGGTGTAATTATTTTTTGAAGCTTTCTTTTGTTTTTCAGAGCACATGAATAATTCTAAATCTGTTCATAACCTGTAAAATGATTTCGCCTTCATAAGCAAGCAAAATTATTAGATGTCTTATAGTCATCTCCAACCTTACCCTACAGTCATCTACTGTGTTTTTATTTACCACAGACACATCAACATTCATCACCATAAATAATATTTTTCTGTTGCAAATTTGATATCACAGGCAAAAGAAAAATAATAAACTTCTTTAAAAGTTTATTAAAAGTTTATTTAATAAACTTCTTTAAAAGTTTATCACCATGAGATGGTCTCTTGTCCTTATTACAGTCAAGTCATTTATTTTTATTTATTTATTTATTTACAGTCAAGTCATTTTAAAACAAGAGTCTCATGCTCTGGAATGCCATACTTTCCTTTGTGCTCCTCAAATAATTTCGTAAGTTCCTCCATATAGGTCTGATGTAACTCCTCAATCTGCTCCTCGGTCGGGTGCAGAATCTGACGAACAGGGATCGGGCGGCCAACTGCAAAAACAGGGAATACATCATCCGTGAGGAACTAAAACCACTCCACCACAGACCGCCTCCCCTAATGCACAGCTGTGAACACAACTGCCAATCAGAATCCCTCCAGCCTGCTCACTCCAATCCTTGTTTCATTTCACTGGCTGCCTGCAGTGGTCACACCACTCCATCTGATAACAAATAAAGAACTTTCCTCCTCAGCAGACACTGGATTGTCGGGACCCTGGTGGTTTTGACTTTGAGTCAAATGAGCTACTGTGCTGACTGCAGCTGGGAGGTGAGTGGACATAGCTGTGTGTCCACGTCACCAGCTTCCTCCCTCTGGGACAGTTGACAGCCAGACCACAGTGCCCTGATTATTACTGACTGTGAATCCTCACATCACATGGCAGTCCTCTAGTCTGACTCTTTTCTTCTTTTTTTTTCTTTTTTCTTTTTGCTTTTTTTTTTTGAGACAGAGTCTTACTCTGTCACCCAGGCTGGAGTGTAGTGGCGTAATCTCGACTCACTGCAACCTCCGCCTCCCGAGTTCAAGCCATTCTCTTGCCTTAACCTCCCACTGAGTAGCCGGGATTACAGGCTCCCACCACCATGCCCAGTTAATTTTTTTTTTTGTATTTTCAGTAAAGACGAGGTTTTACCATGTTGGCCAGGCTGGTCTTGAACTCCTGACCTCAAGCTGGAATTACAAGCGTAAGCCACTGGCCCAGCCTAGTCTGCCTCTTTTGAGTGTCTTTCTGAACAACTAAAAAATACATATCTTCAAGCTAAGTATCTATATTAGAGAAATACACATAAATGACGTGGATTCCATTGTTTCTAATAGTGGATAACTGAAAAACAACTAATGTCTCAATAGAAAAACTGTTAAATAAACCATGTAATAGTCATTAATAGAATCCTAGGCAGAAATTTTTAAACAATGAAATAATATAAATATGTGTACACATACACAGGCAAATACACACAGATGTCTAAGATGTATTAAGTGGAAAAATAATTTGTAAAATAATACAGTATGATCCATTTTTGAAAAAAAATGTTTATATTCCTAGAAGTGTTATACGTTTTTAGTGCATGGAAAAGTCTGGAAAGAGAGAGAAACATAAAAGTTCCTTTTTGGTAAGGAAGTAGGGATGGGGAAATTTCACTCTAATTGTATTATATAAATTTTCTACAAATGAGAATGCATTTGAGTTTTTCCAAATACACTAATTAAAAACAAATCTGGCAACCTCTGTACATATTTTAAAAGGTGTTTATGTAACATCTCACTTGTCTCTGATTTTTAGAAAATACAAATTCCCAAGGCTTTGGGTCTTGCGTTCACTGCGCCACCTGCTGGTCGGATGCTGCTATTGATGCCAAGGGTTGAAATGATGGGCGCAGTGACTCACGCCTGTAATCCCAACACTTGGGAGGCTGAGGCGGGTGGATCACCTGAGCTCAGGAGTTCGACCCGAGCCTGACCAACATAGCGAAACCCCATCTCTACTAAAAATACAAAAATTAGCCGGACGTGGTGGCGGGCACCTGTAATCCCAGCTATTCGGGAGACTGAGGCAGGAGAACCTCTAGAAGCTGGGAGGCAGAGGTTGCAGTGAGACCAGATTGCACCATTGCACTTCAGCCTGGGGGACAGAGCAAGACTCCGTCTCAAAAAACAAACAAACAAACAAACAAACAAAAACAGAAAATGTACAGGAAGTTCAATGAGGCAGCAAACTGCTGTCTCTGACTTCATTAGCTTAGGCATGAGGTCAGGTGGGCTCTAGGTAATGAACGGGACCCACAGTAGAGTGACCTTTGTCCTATCCTGAGTCACCCCATGTCGCATACGAGGTTCTGATTCATGTCAGTAAGAGTAGGTGGTTAGCTAAGCAAAATATGAACAAATGTTAAGTCACAGAGAAGGAAGAATGTGATAAATGACATCAGTATGGGAGCTGAGGGGGCACAGAGAAGGAGACACACACACACACACACACACACACACATATCATTACTGCAACATTAATATTCTCAAATTGTTAAGAATTTAACCAGATGTAGCCTTGAAAAGCTCATGTGGTTTTCTTTGATAGCTTGGATGTCACATTTATACATAGTAGACATAAGTCCCGTTTAACTCAACACAAAGAACTGGAAACAATCATCTCGCTGTCAGTTGTGGTTGGAAATATGGACTAGCAGAGGCTAATGTAGTGATGACGTGGAACTGGTTGCACAAAAAGCACCAGGCTGGGCTGGCTCTAGTCGCAGCTCACCAGCAAGTGCCCTGAGCAAGTGACTTTCTATCTGGCCTTAATTTTCTTTCCCTTTCCCCTTCCCTTCCCTCCCTTCCTTCCCTTCCCTGCCTTCCCTCCCCTCCCTCCCCTTTCTTTCTCTTTCTTTCTTTTCTTTCTTTCTTTCTTTCTTTCTTTCTTTCTTTCTTTCTTTCTTTCTTTCTTTCTTTCTTTCTCTTTCTTTCTTTCTTTCTTTCTTTCTTTCTTTCTTTCTTTCTTTCTTTCTCTTTCTTTATTTCTTCTTTCTTTCTTTCCTTCCTTCTCTCTCCTTCCTTTCTTTCTTTCTGTCTTTCTTTCTCTCTCTCTCTCTTTCTTTCTGTCTTTCTCTCTCTTTCTCTCTTTCCTTCCTTCCTTCCTTCCTTCCTTCCTTCTTTCTTTCTTTCTTCTTTTTCTTTCTTCCATGGAGTCTCACTCTATCAACCATGCTGGACTGTAATGGTGCAGTCTAGGCTCACTGCAGTCTCCGCCTCCTGGATTCAAGCAATTCTCATGCCTCAGTGTCCCAAGTAGCTGAGTATGTGCCACCATGCCCAGACAACTTTTTTTTATTTTTAGTAGAGACAGGGTTCACTATGTTGGCCTTGCTGGCTTCAAACTTCTGGCTTCAAGAGATCTACCAGCCTCAGCTTCTCAAAGTGCTAGGTCGGCGTGAGCCACCACAGCCAGCCTCTGGCCTTAATTTTCACATGCATAGGACAAAAGAGTAGAACTCCAAGATCTTGAAGCTTTCTTCCAGCACTAAGCTTTACTGTTGTTTGAGGAAGATATTGAGAAATCTACATGCAAATCTACTAGCAAATCTGTGGCTTTATCAAAATAGCTTCTGTTTTCTTAGTGAAATTATTCCAGCGAGAGAGGTCAGGGTGGGGGTAAGAGACCAATAAAAAGACATAGTGGTCTAAGAAGATGAAGTGTGTTGTTCTCCACTTACTTTAGTGAGGACTCGTGCATTCTGAATTAGTGAGTCTTCTTTCCTCTGAGCTATCCTACAGCTAATTTCAATCCTGTTCTTTTCTCTTTGTTTTACTACATTTCAGATGGTTCTCCCGGAGAGCTCAAGCATGCTCATATAGAATGAATTTTTTTTTTTTTTTTTTTTTGAGACAGAGTTTTGCTCCTTCTCCCAGGCTGGAGTGAAGTGGCATGATCTCAACTCCCTGCAACCTCCAGCCCCCGGGTTCAAGCGATTCTCCTGCCTCAGCCTCTCAAGTAGTTGGAATTATAGGCACACACCACCATGCCAGGCTAATTTCTGTGTTTTAGTAGAGACAGGGTTTTGCATGTTAGTCAGGCTGGTCTCAAACTCCTGACCTTGGGTTATCCATCTGCCTCGGCCTCCCAAAGTGCTGGGATTACAGGCGTGAGCCACCGCACCTGGAGTGAATTTACCCTAGAGTGAATTTATGATCATAAGACTTATCCCTTTAAACTGTGAGATAGACACAGTCTCTTGTCTTTGCCTTATTTAGTGATAAGAAAAGTGAGGAGCTGAAAGTTCCTAAACTACACTCAAAAAACCCCAGGAGATTAATACAACTTAAACCCAGCATTCCTGCCCCTGCTTCTTAAACTAACACCAAACTGGATTAAAGATTAAGAAATCTTTCTCAATTGCAATTTAGGGGTGAAGCCAGAAGTAACAGAACACAGATCATAATCATACCTTTACTAAATAACTCAAAAAAAGCCCATCTCAGGGAAATGAGGTTGAAAGCTACCAGTCCATTAGCAGTGGAAAACAACCTGCTATTGAGAATTCAGTTCCAATATAGCTGCCCCGAATCTAACTTGTGCCCATATTGGGAATAAAGCTATTATTTATCGAGGGTCTACTAGATGTTGTTAAGTGAAATCCCCAGGAAAACCTAGCAAGACAGCCATTATTGTCCGTTTTACAAATGAGAACAATGGGCACAAGAAGGCTAATTAATTAGTCAGTCCATGGAAAAACATTATAAACCTGAATGGTAGAGTCAGAAATATAAAACTTCAGGGAATGGGCTCCAGTCAAAAGACAGAGGGATGGGGACATTGAGGTATTCATGCACCCTCTTGGCTCTAAGACGGTCACTTCACCTTCTGCAAAAAGGGGGACAGATGGAGAGAACAGCTGGTCAGGGCCTTGGTTCTGAGGGCCCCTAGCTTGCTTCAAATCCTAGCCCTATTTTCAGAGGCACTGGAACCAGCGAAACTCCATCTTGAATAGGGGCTGGGTAAAATAAGGCTGAGACCTACCGGGCCGCATTCCCAGATGGTTAAGGCATCCTAAGTCATAGGATGAGATAGGAGGTTGGCACAAGATACAGGTCACAAAGACCTTGCTGATAAAACAGGTTGCAGTAAAGAAGCTGGCCAAAACCCACCAAAACCAAGATGGTGATGAGTGACCTCTGGTCATCCTCACTGTTACACTCCCATTAGAGCCATGACAGTTTACAAATGCCTCTATGGTCTAAAAAGGGTAAGCATAAGTAATCCACCCTCCGTTTCACATATAATCAAGAAATAACCAAAAAAACAAAAAAACAAAAAACAAAAAAACAAAAAACAAAAAACCATCCTCTGTCTTTGGAGTGGCCATTCTTTTATTCCTTTACTTTCCTAATAAACTTTTTTTCACTTTATGGACTTGCCCCGAATTCTTTCTTGCGTGAGATCCAAGAGCCTTCTCTTGGGGTATGAATCCGGACCCCTCTCCTGTAACAATATCATAAA